AAATTATTTATCATATTCGCAACAAAAAAATGAAACATTTTTTGCGGGCATTTTTAGTTTATGAAATAATCTTGAGTAAACGCTTTTTAATTGTGCGGTACATGTAAACCTACCTGCACAATTTCTTAGCTTATCATTATTTTTTTTTTAAAGATGTGCATTCTAATTAGACACATTTTTTACGTACATGAACTGAAAAAAATGAGCCATGAAAAAAATAATATTCATTATGTTGATAATTATTTCTGACAAGATTTTGATTTTTCTAATGTTATAATTAAATAAATTATTAAGCCACGATTAATTGCCTTTCAATTCAAACATGAGAATCGTTTTAGTAATAATAATAATAATAATAATAATAATAATAATAATAATAATAATAATAATAATAATAATAATAATAATAATAATAATAATAATAAATTATGATGAAGATGGTATTTCTCAATTTATCAGTCGTAATTTAACAAAATTTTGCAGAAAAATTCAAATTTCTTTTTTTTGTTTAAAATCAAGAAACTTTTTTTCCCTTTTTTATGGCTTCTTATTTATTCATTTTGGGTAATTTTCTTTATTTCTTCTTAATTTTATTTATTTATTTATTTGTTTATTTATTCATTTATTTATTTATTTATTTATTGTGTGCGTAGGAATTCAAAATCATTTGATTCAGAATAGAATTGTAATCATGTTGATTTGTTTAATAGACCCTTCTTAATATTACCTCATACATATACATAGATTTCTCAGAACGAGGCTAACAGGACAAGCTCTAGTATCTGCTCTATGTAAACATAATCACGAATATATGGCCGAATATATGGCCGACAGATTTAGAGATCTTAATATAGTACTGACAGTACTATATATACTTGTTGAGAGTTATATTTAACATTACAAAAATCTCTACTGGAGATAAATTAATCAACAACAAGGTTTATTTTACGCTATATACAGTGAATGATATACATGTATTCAAGACCTGAAAAGTGAATTAATGTTTATGATAATTCCAAGTAATTTCTAATATTCTGTGTCAAGTATAAATATCAGGTTAACTCTTTGCAACTTATACAGACATTATCTGTGTTATCAGTATTTTATTGCTTACCTAAACACATGTTGGTCAAGAATGTATAAAGCAATTAACTGATAATAGATGTAAACAGTTGGATGCTGAATTCTGTACCATACTTCCCCTAAATTTAGCCATTGAAATAAAAAAAAACAATAAGTTTTATTCACTTTGTATTTGAAAATCAAAAATTCTGGATGACTGTCTAGTAACTGGTTAACTTTACAGACAGCCTTACCAAATCAAAATAACAATTTTGTTTAGACATGACACCACACCCCCGTCGTATACATTTCAATGGATTTTCAGTATCTTAACACATGATGTTGTTTACAGCAATGGAAAAATACATTTCATGCTAAGTAACGGATGTAAAACTTATATATTATCAACTGTTTTAATTAATTACAGTATTAAATACTTAGTATATAACGAAATACAATCATTTAATTGCAAATATCAGTCAAATCTTAAGACGAAGCTGAAGTACCATTAGGTTATTGCACTTGTCCAGTTGGTGCGACTTGATAATGTGGTCATATTGTTGGAAGCCTGTACTAGCTGATATATAACAAATCAATGGGGTACACGGCACTTCCAGAGGATGTTGCCTGGACTAACCAACCCCAGACATTTCATTTACATAACGGACTGAACATTTGCAAAAAACATGTGCAGGACCTTGCAGTCGGAGGGTATTAGGAAAGACAGCATCTAGCTTCAGCACTTCTTTTAACATTCAAAGAAATATTCACTCAACAGTATATAATGCAATAAGAGGACAAAATATTAAATGTTATTACAAAGTTGACATATTCCCTGCAGCTGTACCATATATGTAACAAAGCAAAATGTTAGAAACAAAGTAATGTTAAAAACAAAGTAATGCGATGATTTCTTTTTTTTATAATTTCATTCGAATTAAGATACAAAAGATTAAACAAATGGTCCTTTAAAATATGCTTAAAATACATTTTGTCAGCTTGCAACATCTATCTCTTTCTATCAGTCAAGCTGTTTGTTTTGCTTGCTTCATAATAAAAGCTCTTAATGTTTTTTTGCTGATGTCTTAAACATTGAAAACTGTAATGAATATACATATGTTGAAAATTCTGTATAAACAAGATATGCAACTGTTATCATTTAAAAGTTTGTTTGTAACAAAAGTTCAATATCACTGTTTTTTTCTTCTTCCTCAGTTTTCTGTAATTCTTCCTTGAACTGTTTGATAGTTTTTTCATATATTCTGCAACTGCCATGAAGAGGTATTACAATTAAAGGCGATTCAAATACCAGTTGTCAATTTGTGTTCATTACTGTTACCAATGGAATTCCTGAAAAATATATACATTTTATTATGAAGTGGTAACAAGAATTATGACATTTCTGGAATATATCAATTTATATTTTAATTGCATTTTATAATGTTGTTTTTTACTGTAGCTGAACTTTATTTATGTGTAAAAATGAAAATTAAGTCTTGTGATGTACCTTTCATCTGGCAAAATCTTCTTTAGTGATCATCTTACTGGTCTGTTCATTACTACTCCAGTTGAACCAAGAGGGCACATCTATTCTCTTCAGACATATATGAATTTGTGTCCATGATCGTTAATTTTATAGTGTGAAATGCTTCAAAACAAGCAATATTGTCTTGTCATATATTGATCTGAAATGGTATACAAAATAACTGTTATTGCTTTTTAGTATAAAAACGGTATTGATTTAGATTAATCATAAGTGTGATATTTAAATGCAATTTATGAACAAAACAATTTACAATGTTAATAATTAAATGAAACATTTAAAACAATGAGAAAATCAGATTGATTAATGTAAGTAGTAATACATCTAAAGTTGCTTAGTATAAAAAAGAATAGAACAATGAAATTTTACCTCGAAATGTTCTCATTCATCCCATCATTTTCACAATCCCTTCCTTTATTAACGCACATCCTTACGTATTTTATGAAAATTTACCGTATAATCATATTTAGAATTGGAATAAAAGAATGGAACACAACAATAAAAATTATATTTTCGCCGGTAAGTTTAACACACTTGGGCTTATCAGGTCAGACATTATTTGTTTACATTCATGCCCTGTTAGCCTCTCTCTGGTAATGGAATGTAAAGCATGTATATAATTTGAGAAAGGCCTAATAGACCCTTCTTAATATTACCTCATACATATTCATAGATTTCTCAGAACGAGGCTAACAGGGCAAGCTCTAGTATCTGCTCTATGTAAACATAATCACGAATATATGGCCGAATATATGGCCGACAGATTTAGAGATCTTAATATAGTACTGACAGTACTATATATACTTGTTGAGTGTTATATTTAACATTACAAAAATCTTTACTGGAGATAAATTAATCAACAACAAGGTTTATTTTACGCTATATACAGTGAATGATATACATGTATCCAAGACCTGAAAAGTGAATTAATGTTTATAATAATTCAAAGTAATTACTAATATTCTGTGTCAAGTATCAATATCAGGTTAACTCTTTGCAACTTATACAGACATTATCTGTGTTATCAGTATTTTATTGCTTACCTAAACACATGTTGGTCAAGAATGTATAAAGCAAATAACTGATAATAGATGTAAACAGTTGGATGCTGAATTCTGTACCATACTTCCCATAAATTTAGCAATTGAAATAAAAAAACCCAATAAGTTTAATTCATTTTGTATTTGAAAATCAAAAATTCTGAATGACTGTCTAGTAACTGGTTAACTTTACAGGCAGCTTTACCAAATCAAAATAACAATTTTGTTTAGACATGACACTACACCCCCATCGTATACATTTCAATGGATTTTCAGTATCTTAACACATGATGTTGTTTACAGCAATGGAAAAATACATTTCATGCTAAGTAACGGATGTAAAACTTATATATCATCAAGGTTTATATAACCCGATACGTTATATTGCTGAGACCAGATCACATGAAAGAAAAACTAAATTTAAAATTAAAATAATTTAAAAGAATAGAAATAACTTAATTAGCGTGCAGCAGTCATGTTTGGTATAAATGTAAAAAAAATGTCCTTTTCCGTCAATCTTCGGATAATGACGTCAAAATAAATAGAACGGAAGCGGTATTCAGCGTTAACGGTACACGTAAACTAATTCAAAGAAGAAAGTGTTGGCTTAGTTTATTTCTTTATATAGTGTAAAAGTTGAATTATATTATGAAATAAGTAAATTTATAAATATGTATATTAGGTATTAAAACATATTATCATTTATATATAACTGGTGATTCTATTTTTAGAAACTAAAAGTACATAGCGTATACTTGTTGCGACTATTTCAATATTATTATCATTATTATTATTATAAAACCATTATTACAAACTTTTATTTTGACACTCATCGCAATTGGTTACATGCTACATGTTTCATGAATAAACTTATAGTTAATAAAATCACATTGATATTTTAGTCAATTTTATGACACACGTGCTTTAAACACTCATATCGTATTTGGTTACATACTACATGTTTCATGAATAAACTTAAAGTTAATTAAATCACATTGATATTTTAGTCAATTATATGACACACGTGCTTTAAACACTCATTTCGCATTTGGTTACATGCTACATGTTTCATGAATAAACTTATAGTTAATAAAATCACATTGATATTTTAGTCAATTTTATGACACACGTGCTTTAAACACTCATTTCGCATTTGGTTACATGCTACATGTTTCATGAATAAACTTACAGTTAATAAAATCACATTGATATTTTAGTCAGTTCGCATTTGGTAACATGCTACTTGTTTGAAGTTATTGATAGTTTAGTCAACTATATGACACACGTGCTTTAAACACTCATATTGCGTGTATAAAGCAACGGCCATTGTATTTAAGAATTGGGGCCCTGATTAATAAATTCTTGTTGATGTAGTGTGATTGGGCAAATTTTCATTGCGAAATATTATCTGGCGGAACAATTTGCTACACTAGTCTTGCGGTGACTTGAAATCGTTTAACATTTAATTAAAACTTGTGGATTTAAACATTTGAAAATCAACAAACATGTCAGGTGGGATTTGAGTATATTAAAAATTTATTTATTTTTTATACATAAAAGTAAATGTTGACGTTTATTAGTTCGCATTGAAATAAATATGGAGCCGTTTTTTTTCTATATTTATTCATTAAATAACGCATATGATGGTCAATGTAGTATCAATATTTCTAGAATGAAGCGTAGTAGATCATAGATCGTAGATCAATCAGCGTAAAAGAGCAAGAAATAATTGATTTTTAAGTGAACTGGTCTATAATGTAAGGTATGCCACACATTGCGTAATGGTTTCGATAGTATTTAGAATAAAACATTACAACAAACCACGAAATAATTATACATGGACGTTGTTGGCAATTGATTCGATATTACAGATATACATGTACATGAATTTATGAAGCAGATTATTAAATGTTCTAGAGCAAGATGTTATTATTCGCCAGATAAATCACTTGGAACTTTATCAAACTATTTTTTACCAGTAATGGTTCGGTACGGCCAATAACCCCCAAAAATGTTCAACGAATTTATGTCCTTTGCTAGACGCTCTGCACAGAGGCAGTAAAGTTGTATTTAACAACTCGTGCCACGTTGCTTCTTTATGTTTTACTTCAACATTTGCAATTTTTGGTTAAATTGAATGTTCGTAAATTTCCATCCATGTAGCTTTATAACCACTCCTCAAACGGCTTGCCGCGCGAGTGCAGGAACCCCGCTCTGTCTGTGCCAACAGGGGCGAATAAGCTAATAGATTAGAACAATTAAAGCAATAATTTGGCGTTGAGTACATTCGATATTATTAATATCTGCAGTACATCAAACAGATTATTGCGTACCTACATTGTTATTTAAATATTTTGGCAATAATGTTACACAAGGTATGCTATAGATCTCTGTCAAGCAACTAAGTCGTGAGCACGAAATCAGGTAATGCGCACGAGATACTATGTCGTGGCAACTAGTTACTAAGTCCTGCGCACGAGATAATTAAGTAGTATGTCGTTCCCATGACTAATTAATCTCGTTCTCACGATCTAGTAGCTCGTGGCCACGACAAAGTATCTCGTGCCCACGACGTTATTATCTCGTGCGCACGACTTAGTAACTCGTGGCCACGACATAGTATATGGTGCCCACGACTTGATTATCTCATGCGCACGACTTAATTATCTCGTGCATACGCCTAAGTAGCTCGTGGTCATGACATAGTATCTCTTGCACTTGAGATAAATAAAAACACACGCATGTCACCTCTGTGCCACCGTAGACATTAATCGACATTAAGTCGCGTGTACAACAAAATATTAGTATTATACATGTTTACTCGGCCAACTTCTATTATAACTCGAAAAGTGCTTATTATGGCTTTTAATTGCTCTGGGTCACTGACGCCATTAGTCGAAAGACACGGATGGGAACGTAATTTCCCGGAGATATATGAGATGAATTTAATGATATTATATTTAAGCAAGCCGTGTTAAATTAGGGAGATAAAAAGAGATAAATACTTGAGTTGTAGTTACATTTAGGTCACCATGATTGTTCATATGAAGTGTTGTTATCTTGACATATGACCCTTGATAAGAGTCCAATGCGTTACAAGAATTTAATAGAAGTTCTATTCCGCTGAACTGAGGAAATGGGTTGTAAAATGAAACCATATTTTTTCGCAATTATTTTACAACTGTCATTTAACAGCAAATTTATGGATATACATTGTGCATTTAATAATATTAATGTAAAATATCATGGCAGATAACAAAGTGTTTTTAATAGCTAGAAATAGAATACAAAGAAATGACCACTACTGTCAATTTTGTTCTTTAGGCGACTTAGGAGACGAATTTCATTTTATTCTTAAATGCCCATGTTAAACAAGTATTCGTAGCAAACCCAGTATCAGTTTTTAAATCTAAGTAATAGTTAACATGTGTTTTGCAATATTTACCACCATATTTTTACTGCGTTACTGACGCAGTAATGGCTATCTTTGCAGTTTTTGTACTCTTTTTGGCTAGTTTGGTAGATTTTAAGTGCAATTTGCAATGTCTAAATTAATATGTTTGTTTGCTTCATAATACTTTTCTTTTAAATACATTTTCATGAACCTGGAGACATGCTGCTTTAAGACAGTATAAATACTGTGTGTAAAGGCGTGTAGGGGCTCTCCGTTTCCAATCTCACATAAGTTCAGATGATATTATGTTTTACAATTACGTGCGTTTCTGTGGTTTTATATTGATATAAATATTTTGTGAAATTTTATCTACTACCCGACACTATTTGATTTCTGTAATGGCGCCATTACAATGCTGCATATCTACCGTGTTTCGTTTCGTTTTTTTTTTAATTATAGGTCACATACCCGGTAGTTAAATAATCCAGTCATTAAACGCTTGGCGGATGTTCAACCGCATGCCAATTTGCTATATTTTAAAAATACCTTATAACGGTTGGTTATTATGTATTCGTAACTCCATTGTCATAGTTCATAAAATAATTTTTCGAAATTCTATACCTTTACTGTAAACATGATATCAAGATTAGTCTTGAAGATAATAAATTTTGAAGTTTGAGGTAAACAAAATTGTCGAGGCGCATATAATTCGGTATGTTGAAGAGTACTACATGTTGTTAAAGGACATGCAAAAAATAAAATAAAATAAAAATAAAAAAAGATTCACTGACTCAGGGAGTTATCTAAGAGAGCAAATCGAACTGGTCTTTGTCCGACATTTTTGGCGCATGCGCATTACGTGCGTTTAAAAAAAAAGTGAAATAAATAATTTTACGATAATGAACAAGTATTTTTTAATAAAAATAATAATAAGTAAACAACACACAAAAACACTATTTTTAATAAAGGTATTTGATTTTATAAAAAAAATAAGAAAGAAAAAACAACAGTAAAAGATGAAAATATGTCTAATATAAATAAATATAAATAAATATAATTATTATATATATTTTATTTTTGTGTGAAGTTAGTTAGTAAGTTTATTTATTTATTTACATATTTTATTCTCTATTTATTTTTACAAAAAGAAATGTTATGAACATTCAGGCGAAACTCCTAAAGTGTTTGAAGTAAAAATTGTCGCTATCAACATAATGTGTTTATTGTAAACTGTCAATAGTTTGATAGATAGAATTTCAGAATACTATTAAAAAAATTTATGTTTTAGATAAAATATGTATCATTGTTTCTTTTTTCTTGGGGTAGTTATTTCTAGAATAACAATAAAAAACGAGATATAAATAGATAATAATAATGATTCGAAAGATGAAATAATAATAACAATAATAATAATAATAATAATAATAATAATAATAATAATAATATAATAACACATATATAATTTTACTGATTAGGCGGTTAAGGTCATTTACATGTATCTTAAGAATGTCACCATCTTGTTTTTATACTCCATAAGTGACATAAAGCTCGCTTTATAGATTAATTAAATACTTTTAATATTTTTCCTTAAAATGTAATCGAATCACGTATATTGTTTTCATACACAACATCAAAAACAACCAAAACGCCTACGCATGTGCATAGAACATGCGCAAAAGAATCTTGTATAATTGGGACTTTCACAGCCGATTTATCATAGTCAATATGCTCCATTGTATTTAAAATACTGCACTCCTATTGGACAAAAAATAATTTTAAACAGTAATTACTCTTATTGTATGTCGGTGACATAATTCGACCTGAATAACACGTGTCGTCTTTATTTAGATAAGATTGCTATTTTAAAATTGATGTAGATTTTAGTTAGTTCTTTAGAGTTTCGTTACGTTGCAAGATGACTTTCAATTTGTTCAGTTTCTAGATAACTTTCACTTTGTTAAGTTTCCAGATAACTTTCATTTTGTTACGTTTCCAGATAACTCATTTTTGTTACGTTTCCAGTCCAGATAACTTTCACTTTGTTACGTTGTAAGATAACTTTCACTTTTTACGTTGTAAGATGACTTTCATTTTATTCAGTTTCCAGATAACTTTCATTTTGTTCAGTTTCCAGATAGCTTTCACTGTGTTAAGTTTTCAGATAACTTTCACTTTGTTAAGTTTTCAGATAACTTTCACTTTGTTCATTTTTCAGATAACTTTCACTTTATTACGATTTCAGATAACTTTCACTTTGATAAGTTTTCAGATAACTTTCACTTTGTAACGTTACCTGATAACTTTCACTTTGTAACGTTACCTGATAATTTTCACTTTGTTCATTTTCTAGATAACTTTCATTTTGTAACGTTACCAGATTACTTTCACTTTGTAACGTTACCAGATAACTTTCACTTTGTTACATTTCCAGATAACTTTCACTTTGTTTTTTTTCCAGATAACTTTCACTATATTACGTTTCCAGATAACTTTCACTTCGTTTCACTATACATCATTTACTGAGACTTTTGTATACGTTTTCTGGTAACTTGCACTTTAGTTTTCGTGAACAGTATTGATTATTAAAATTTCATGATAACATTTACTTTTGTTTCTCATTAATGTCAAGTTTTTGGATTACTTCACAATATGGTTTTCAGTAAACATTGATTCTTAATCATGTTTTAAACTTTGTTATTGCGAACAATTTCTGTAAAGGTTTTTGGATAATTTTAAGTGTCGTTATTCTTGTTCACTGTCAATTTGAGTTGAATTAGTAATATATTTTAAGAGATTGACTATTTTAATGTTTATAGACCAATAATTGATATTTAAAAAATGTATAGGATAAAATGTAAAAACTACCTAAAGTATACACTTAAACTCTACCGATACAGTCTGAAGGATGCATATATAAAAAGAAATCTCTGTTGGTCACGCAAATTGCATACAGTAGTCAAATATAGAATTAAACACATTTATGGAAAATGTAAGGTTCTTTTGACTTTTGCCTGTGCACCTACAATTTACTCTTTGAGGGGCATAATGTCATTTTAAATTTCCGGAAAACTATAGTTTTAGTTTCTGTTAACATTTGTTGTGGACAGTTTCGCATCATTTTCGTTTTTACTTTTGTGACCGAGTTTTCTTTCCTTTTCGGGTTGAGATTTAGAAGTTCTTAAGGATGACTATTGAAATAAGAGGCTTTCTTTAAGATTCTTTGTTCGCGAGTAAAGTAAAAAGCTTAGTGCTTCTGTTTCTGGGACTTTTGCTATCGAGTATGGATAGCAAGTATGTCATAAGTCATTTCCTGAAAAGTTTAGTTTTCAAGCACAGTTGTAATAGTGGTGATAATTTTAGAGCCGAAAGTAGATCCGCTCTACAAGATCAAAAAGCATCTAAATATACAGCAAATTGAGTCGACAGCTCAAAGAATATATAAAGTAATTGTACTTACCCAGGCGACGGCGTCACACGTTGGTTAATTTTTTACGTGCAAATTAGTATCTCCAAAACTACTGAATGGAATTTATTGAAACTTCGCACACTTACATTTAAGGGCATTATAGAAGGCCATTGTCAAAGGTCCATAACTCGAACATGGATTTTGACAACTTTGTAACTTAAAAATATCATCTACATCACAGAGGCTCTTGCTTCGCTATCAATAACTAGGGAACAATTACATGAAGCTAGAATACAGTGCTCTTTTGTAAAAACCACGAACCTCGGAAAAAATCATTGTTTTACTTCTTAGGTGATCTGATTTCTTCAAAGCACGTTAGTTGCCTAAAAAGCTTTGAATAAGAAATAAATTTCGATACAAGTTGCAAATTGTAACCAAAATGGTATTATGATTTCTATAGAAATCCTAAAGCTCTATAACAGCCATGTTCTATAACTGTTACACGCAAAAGAAGCAAAAACATGACGCGGATGCATGACCACTGAGTAACGGTTTGGACATGTAAAATAAAATATTTTGAAAAATAAATATACTTGCATTTTAATGATACAGTGAGTTAAACGAAATAGAAAATTTTTATTAGGGCCAGAGTCCCTGTATTTCACGATAAAGTTTTTTCCGACATCTTTATTTAAGAAACAAGAGCCTGCTATGAAAACATACATCCTCCTAGGGTAAACTTTAATTTGGTAAATTTCTTGATATATCTATCAACTAACCTTAAATTTTGGAACAAAATCTTCATTTAATAATTCAATTCTATCGTAACTTAGATTGATTTTTCATTTCAGAGGTACTAGTGTCTAGTTGTTGAGTGTTTCTGTCTTTCATTGTCGCCCCTAGGGCTTTAAATGTAAAACAGAAACATTCTATACACTTGCAATTCTTCCAGACTACAAAAATTGTAATCAGCCGTTAAAGAGTCCATTCCCGATTCAAAAGCATTCAGCAGCAAATTTTCAAATCAGAATCGGGAATTACCGAAGTGTACCGAACGAAGCTACACATTGATGTTTTAAATGTGATGAATGCTATTAATGTGTTTGACTATATCTTCGTTACATGTATTAATATCTTTTTAATAAACAGGTTACCCTCCACCACCAGCTTACCAAGAGCAAAACAAAGGAGTTTCGAGTGCATACCCACCCCCAGGGACAGGCTATCCTTCCCAAGGGTACGTTCAACCAGGGTACGGCCAGACCGGGTATACCCACCAATCAACAACGGCAGTAGTAAGGACATATAACACAATTTCTGTTGACGTTATTTTTCTCCAATCCAAAACAGAATGGGACTTAATTGCCATATATGTAGCTGAATTAAAGTATATGAGAAAATTGCGCAATAAGCTGCAATGAATAAAACATTAAAAACATAAAAACAATTTTATGTAAAATTGTACGCCATATACTTTTACGTATTTGATTTCTTTTCTTGAATATCATGTTATATATTACTTGTGTGCTTAAAGTAGCTTACAGTAAACTATTCGAAACATTGTCCTTTGACCTACTTGCACGATATTAAAAACAATTAGTCAGCACAGATTGGTGGATGTTATGGCAATGGTAATTAAGTGTTAAGAAAGATCTATTAGTGCCGCTGCTTTTTGAATATGTAACGGGAAACAAACGTGCTAGGGTTGTGTTATTCTCTGACGCGAAAATGGCTTTAAGAAGATCGGAAGATCATCTTAATTAAGGAGATGGTTAGATGGTTACACGAATTCCAGTTGTACAAAAATATTTAGATGGTTGGAAGCTTGGCAACTAATTTAAAAGATGTCTAGTCGAAAAACGTGGAAATACACTTAGATTATGACTTTAATATTGATGTTATGCTTTTAAATTTCAGGTTGTGACACAGCCAGGATATGCTGGCCAAGTGGTAGCAATGCCAAGACCTCCAGATTACATGGTCGGCTCAATCTTTGCTTGTCTCTGTTGTTTTTGGCCGACAGGATTGTGTGCTATATACTATGCATTCCAGGTGAGTGACACATAAAGTTGGTTATTCATGTATATCATTTACCATCACTATTCATAAAAAATCATCATCATCAACATGATCATCATTATGTAAACAATGCATTACTTTGTTTAATGTGAGAGGTTTTTCTAAAACAAGCAAATTGTCCATTTCTGATCTTGTAATATATGTATCTTATATTTCTTAACGTTCATAAATTGAGTATTTCCACTGGAAGGATACTATGTAATCGCGCACCTGCAAAATGCCCCCAATCGGACTTTTTTCTTTGTAACCATCCCGTCGACTCGAAGGTAAAAATATGTTTTTATTCTAGGAAATTGTTAGAAAATTTAAAAAATAATGAGCGCAAAAAAGATTGGTTTAAAGGTTTTTTTAATTTTTTAAAAAAAAGGTTTGAAAATTTACAGCCCAGTCCTGAAAAAAGGGATAAAATTGTTTTTTCCCCAATTCCCCACTGGACTCAAAAAAAATTTTATCCTTATGCAGGTGCGCTGACGTAAAAACCTACATTGTGAATGGATAAAATGACTCCCGTTGTCATTTACTAAAGTCTTTATCTTCTTTATTTCCTTTTCCCGCAGCAATGGGACTGAAAAGGGTTGGTTGGGGCCCCAAATATGGCAAAAAGGCGAAATGAGGGTCACGCATTGTTGATTGCGTTTTTGGATCGGCCCTTTATTGTCCCCAAGCGTTGTATACCAGTATTTAGCAACAAAAAGCTATTAGGGAATCATATTAATGAGTCGCTTGAAAGGGAGATAAAAGTAGCCTTTAAATACTTGTAATCGCCCCTACTCCAGTGTAATGAAAATCAAAGAAGTAAACGAATCTTATCATTTTATTTATCATCTAGACGCTTTTGAAATACATATACGACGCTGGAAATTCCAAAGTCTTCCGAATCGTTGCAAATCAATTTTTAAATGCAAACTTACTTTATTGGACATATCTGGAAATATCATTTCCGGGCTTGACTTTTATTTGTGTGCGTAGATCTATGTATTTTTGAAGAAATTTATAATCTAAAGCTATTGTGATATAAAAATTTTTTTTTTATAGTTTTATCATAAATGTTTCATATATTTGAGTCAAATATGTGGTATAAAATTTGGCTACATTGATATATTATTATGTGTGTTTTTGTTTATATGTTCTATAAAACATATTGTATGAAACATGTTTACGAACTAATTTTACGGTAGACCACTGCTAATGATCACTACATTGTAAAAGGAACTATAAAATTGACAACATATGACAGTTACATGTATATGCCTTAAATGTCACTTGTATGCAAAATTTAAATTAAATTAAGGGTGTGGTTTATGAGTTATGGACATTTTTCTTAACTGAAACTTTGCTATAAGAAAGGCTTTTTTCAGAAATGAGGAAACTCCAAATAATCTATAATATCATCATTATGAAAATGTTTTCCTATTCCTCGTTGTTAAGAAACAAATAACTATCAGGTAACAAATTACACAATTTGGCATTGTTTAGCAAATAACTACCTACAATAATTATATAATTAATATCAAGCACTTTTTTTACATAAGGGATCTGAGAGATACATCAATAATGTTATAAAAAAGAAAGAAAAAAGTTGCCCTTCCTTGGGTTGAACCCAATGCACTTGCCTATTTGAATACTTTTCATAGTGGAGGTAATGCATTAGCAGTTGTCTACCTTATCAAATGCGTTCGGTGAATTATGTTTGTCGAAAGACACGATGCTGTTAGTGCATATGATGACGTGAAATTAAGTGTGTGTGTGTGTGTACGTGCGCGCGCGTGCGCGTGTGCGCGCGCGTGCGCGTGTATGTGCGTGTGGGCGTGTGCGATAAAAGTATGACGTATTTATGCATGTCATGTGTTTTGAGAAAATGTCGTACACAGTTTCATCAGTTGCTTTTATGTATTCGCTTGAGATTTAAATCATTAAATTCAAATAAAAACCATACTTAATATCGCAACAAGAACAAAGTAGTCATAATGTGAACTGTTATTTAATTTTAAACTGTAAGTCATCAAAAACTTTAGAACTAGCAAATTAAATTGAAATGTATCTTACTATTATTGAGTAACTGTAAAAAAGCATGTGCTATTGAAATGCTTTGCATTTTACTAAGAAAATATATGTTAAATTGTTTTAACCTTTGTCATCTATTTCTGATAATAAATGAACATTTTGTTTTATTTCATCTACATTTTTTAAATATAGATTACAAAGTAGAGATACATTATCATGTACGCAAAGCATCGACCCCTAACCCCTCCTTGCCATTAATACTGGATTCAATAAAACTGAGGAGTACATGTACATCAGTAATTTGCACAAAGACATTTTACAGAATAAATATATATTCGCCATTTAATCTGGGACAAATAATTTTTGTCCCATATTTAACCAGTAAATCGAAAACTTTCTGTTAATAAACATTATTACATTTTAGTTTAGATAATAAGCAACGAGGAATCAAAGGGATAAGAAAGGTCCAAAAAGAGCATCTACTATTCAGAAACACCCGTCCCTTGCTATGTTAATATATTTTACGCCAAAAATCATCAAAAGAAACGTTCAGAACAATCCAGGGTATTTGGATTAAAACAGTAGCTACTAGAGTGTTAACAGGATTTTCCTATTGTCTTATGCCTACGCTGTTACTACCTAGCTTATGTAATTCCAATCCGAAATTAGACCCATGACCACTTGTCTATGCTGAAATTAACGCAACTGCATCCTATAAATCTCTATCTATATATCATATGATTGCATCAGACCTAGATTGTCCAGGTGAAATATTTATTCATACATAAACCCAGTACCAGCTAGAAGTGTTAACAAGAATTTGTTATTTTAAGCTCATGTGACCTAGTTTTTCATCCGAGATGACCCATTTTCAAACTCATCCGAGCAATTACCTATGCAAGCATCCTGACCAAGTTTGATGACATTTGAGTCAAAAATGTGACCAATACAGTGTTAACAGGGTTTTCTATTTTTAGCTCCTGTGACCTTGTTTTTCATTCGAGATGACCTATGTTCGGACTCATCCAAGCAATGACCCAGACAAGCATCCTGACAAAGCTTGATGACAAATGAGTCAAAAATTTGACCACTAGAGTGTTAACAAGGTTTTTATATTTGTAGTGTCTGTGACCTAGTTTTTCATCCGAGATGACCCATGTTCGAACTCATCGGAGCAATTACCTTGACAAGCATCATGACCAAGTCTGATGATAATTGAGTCAAAAATATTACCACTAGAGTGTTATAAATGTTTTTCTATTTTTAGCTCCTGTGACCTAGTTTTTCCTCCGTAAAAGTTAAAAGTTTGTTTTTATGATTTATAGGTCAAGTTAGAATACGGGTCACCTTGGGTCAAAAACTAGGTCACACTGCCAAAGTATGAAAAAAAACTCGTTAACATTCTAGTGGTCACATTTTTGACTAAATTATCATCAAACTTGGTCAGGATGTTTGTTTCGGTCTTTGCTCGGATGAGTTTGAACATGGGTCATCTCGGATGAAAAACTATGTCACAGGAGCTAAAAATAGAAAAATCTTGTTGACACTCTAGTGGCTACTGTTTTGATCCAAAATATCCTGTAAATTGGTCTAAAAGTTTGCTTTGATGATTTCTAGGTCAAGTTCGAACATGGGTCATCTTGCATGAAAAACTAGGTCACAAAAATTTAAGCAGTGTGACCTTGTTTTTTCCCCAGGTGACCCATATTCGAACTAGACCTAGAAATCATCAAAAAAACCTTCAGACAAATTTCCAGGATAGAAATATGTGTTAGAGTGTTAACAAGGTTTTTCTATTTTTAGCTCCTGTAACCCAGTTTTTCATCCGAGATGACCCCTGTTCAAACTCATTTGAGTTATCTCCTAGTCAAGCATCCTGACCAAGTTTGATGATGATTGAGTTAAAAATGTGACCGCAAGAGTGGTAACAAGGTTTTTCTATTTTTAGCTCATGTGACCTTGTCTTTCGTCCGAGATGACCCATGTTCGAATTCATTTGAGCTATTACCTAGGCATGCATCCTGAGCAAATATGATAATAATTGAGGCAAAATGTGACCACTAGAGTGTTAACAAGGTTTGTCTATCTTTAACTCCTGTGACCTAGTTTTTCATCCAAGATGTCCCATGTTCGAACTCACTCAGATAAGCATCCTGACAAAGTTTGAAGATGATTGAATCAAAAGTGTGACCGCTTGAGTGTTAACGAACAAGTGTGAACGGACGACGGACGACAGACGACCGTCGACGGACATTCAACGTTCCTAAAAGCTCACCCTGAGCTAGCTCAGGTGAGTTTAAAAAGTTTAATCTTAAAGCCGCATGCCTTCAGATTCATGACAATTTTCTAATATTTCAAAAAAATTATATTATATATTAAAGTAAAATAAAGACAAGTGAACAAAAACAGTATAAAACACATTACAAGCGGCACTTTTAATCCACGTAAATTACAAAGTAAATGTCAATACATGTAAAACAATAGCCCTTACTGTGCTATAGTCACGCAGAAATATGGTGCTAAATAAATGCTGCAACCTCAGTCTTTTATAGCATATAACAAGTAAATCAATCCTTGAATTTAGAATAATGTTACTTATCTTCAAATCATTGTACATTTTTCTAGAAAATTATTTTCTTGAAATTTGTCGTGTCAAATGGAGGCATGCTAGCCTGGAGTTGCCTCCCCTTACACTATGTTATCTATGCTATCTAAGGCAAGGAACCAGACTACAGACACACGGCATCATTTCCGGTACATATGAACTCGTGTATTTATTTAGAAACAAGTAACTAAATGCATGGACATTCAAATATTTAATCGGTTATATTTATAAAGAGCAACAATGTTGGTTTTAACAATACCCGATTTAATATGATATATGCTAAACATGGACTAAAGTTAATGTACTCTTAATATACATAAGTCTATTAACACTATACTCTTAGATTTACAAATCCTCACTAATACTTCTTTTATTTTAAGATTTCCTTTAAGGC